TACACCCGTGGCCTCCATTACCTCTTGTTAGTTCCTCCTCCTTCCTTCCTCTCTCTCCCCTCCCCTCCTCCCTCCCTCCCTCCTACCTCCCCCTCTCTCTCTCTCTCCTTCCCTCCCTCCCTCCCCTCCCTCCCTTCCTCCCTCTCTCTCTCCTCCCTCCCTCCCTCACCTCTTGTTAGTTCGTCTCCCTCCCTTCCTCTCTCTCTCTCCTCCTCCCTCACCTCTTGTTAGTTCGTCCCTCCTCCCTCCCTTCCTCTCTCCCTCCTCCTCATCTCTTGTTAGTTCGTCCCTCCCCTCCCTTCCTCTCTCTCTCTCTCTCTCCCCTCCCTCACCCCTCTTGTTAGTTCGTCCCTCCCTCCTCCCTTCCTCTCTCTCTCTCCTCCCTCCCTCATCTCTTGTTAGTTCGTCCCTCCTCCCTTCCTCTCTCTCTCTCTCTCTCCCTCCCTCCCTCCTTCCTCTCTCTCTCCCTCCTCCCTCATCTCTTGTTAGTTCGTCCCTCCCTCCCTTCCTCTCTCTCTCTCTCTCTCCCTCCCTCACCTCTTGTTAGTTCGTCCCTCCCTCCTCCTTCCTCTCTCTCCTCCCTCCCTCATCTCTTGTTAGTTCGTCCCTCCCTCCTTCCTCTCTCTCTCTCTCTCCTCCCTCCCTCACCTCTTGTTAGTTCATTCTCCCTCCCTCCCTTCCTCTCTCTCTCCTCCTCCCTCCTTACCTCTTGTTAGTTCGTCCCTCCTCCTTCCTCCTCTCTCTCCCTCCCTCCCTCACCTCTTGTTAGTTCGTCCCTCTCCCTTCCTCTCTCTCCCTCTCTCTCCCTCCTCACCTCTTGTTCGGTTTCGTCCTCCCTCCCTCCTTCCTCTCTCTCCCTCCTCCCTTACCTCTTGTTAGTTCGTCCCTCCCTCCCTTCCTCCTCTCTCTCCCTCCCTCCCTCACCTCTTGTTAGTTCGTCCCTCCCTCCCTTCCTCCCTCTCTCTCTCCCTCCTCCCTCACCTCTTGTTAGTTTCGTCCTCCTCCTCCCTTCCTCTCTCTCTCTCCCTCCCTCCCTCACCTCTTGTTAGTTCGTCCTCCCTCCTTCCTCCCTCTCTCTCCCCTCCCTCCCTCACCTCTTGTCAGTTTGTCCCTCCCTCACCACCTAACTGCACCCCTGTTCCCTCACCACCCAACTCCCTCCCTCCCTTACCATCCAACTCCCCTCCTGTTCCCCTCACCACCCCTAACTCCCCCTCCTGTTCCCCTCACCTAACTCCCCTGTTCCCCTCACCACCCAACTCCTCCCTCCCTCACCACCCAACTCCCCCTCCTGTTCCCTCACCACCAACTCCCTATGTTCCCCTCACCACCCAACTCCCCCTCCTGTTCCCCTCACCACCCAACTCCCCCTATGTTCCCCTCACCACCCAACTCCCTCCCTCCCTCACCACCCAACTCCTCCCCCTGTTCCCTCACCACCCAACTCCCTCCCTCCCTCACCCACCCAACTCCCCTCCTGTTCCCTCACCACCCTAACTCCCCTCTGTTCCCCTCACCACCTAACTCCCCCTCCTGTTCCCCTCACCACTTAACTCCCCCCCTCCTGTTCCCTCACCACCCAACTCCCTCCCTCCCTCCTCACACCCAACTCTCCCCCTGTTCCGCTCACCACCCAACTCCCCTCCCTCCCTCCCTCACTCACCACCCAACTCCTCCTGTTCCTCACCACCCAACTCCCTCCATCCCTCCCTCACCACCTAACTCCCCCCCCTGCTCTCCTCACCACCCAACTCCCTCCTCCCTCCTCCCCACCACCCAACTCCCTTCCCTGTTCCCTCGACCCAACTCCTCCCTCCCTCTCTCTCACCACCCAACTTCCCCATGTTCCCCTCACCACCCAACTTCCCCATGTTCCACCACCCCAACTCCCCCTTGTTCCCCTCCACCCAACTCCCTCCCTCCCTCTCTCCCTCACCACCCAACTTCCCCATGTTCCCTCACCACCCAACTCCCTCCCACCCTCACCACCCAACTCCCTCCCCTGATCCCCTCACCACCCAACTCTCTCCCTCCCTCACCACCCAACTCCCCCTGTTCCCTCACCACCCAACTCTCCTCCCTCTCTCCTCCCACCCAACCCCCTCCCCTGTCCCTCCCACCAACTCTCTCCCTCCCTCACCCAACTCCCCCCTGTTCCCCTCACCACCCAACTCTCTCCCTCCCTCTCTCTCTCACCACCCAACACCCTCCCCATCCCCTCACCACCCAACTCTCTCCCTCCCTCACCACCCAACTCCCTGTTCCCCTCACCACCCAACTCTCCCTCCCTCTCTCTCTCACCCACCCAACACCCCTCCCCTGATCCCCCACCACCCAACTCTCTCCCTCCTCACCACCCAACTCTCCCCCCTGTTCCCCTCACCACCACCTCTATGCATCATACATATATAAAATAGCCTTCTTGTAATTACTGATATAAGAACGCATTAAAACCAACACTTACACCCTCCCAAAAGCTGTAGGAACAATATGGCTCCCAAAGTGGACTGAAACTCGACTCCTTCTCTCACTACTAATGACAGGAGTAATACTGAAGGTAGATTCTTCAAGACCATTACACGGCTACATCATTTTAATAAGACTCTCAATGTCAATAAAAAAAAATAACATTACAATTTTATTAAAGTATATAGAAAGACGTCGTACCCTGATTATTTTTTTTTTATTTCATTTTAATTATTTTCGAGGGATGTTTTATAAAGAGAAGCGACTCGCTGTTTGTCCCACGGTTGTCATGATGATGCCACCGTCACAACTCCCGGCTCATAATCTCTGCCTAATTGACGCTCCCTCACGTCTGTCTACCGCCTCCATAATAATTATCCTGGGGAGTGAGGGGCTTATGATCATCATCCTCCCCTCCCTCCTCCTCCTTGGTCATTAAATGCGTGGGAGACAAAACGAGACCATCTTCCCGCACAAAACTCGTGGAACAGTGGCGCGTGGGAGGGAGGTGTACGAGGGAGGGAGGGAAGGAAGGAAAGTAGGTGTACAGTGCGTGGGAGGGAGGGAAGGCGTACATGAGAGGAAGGGAAGGAAGGAGGGAAGGTGTACGTGGGAAGGAAAGAAGGAAGGAAGGAAGGTATACAAAAAGATAGCATCAACTAGTGAACTGTGAGTGGTGAATATTACTGGTACACCGCTAATGGGTTTTAACTTTCCCGTAAAGTGCATGAAACAATGGTGAAACTGATTACGTAATTATTATGTCACCATGTATAATTCTTGTGCTATGTATAATTATTGTGTTATCATGTATAATTATTGTGCCATCATGTATAATTGTTGTGCCATCATGTATAATTATTGTGCCATCATGTATAATTATTGTGCCATCATGTATAATTATTGTGCCATCATGTATAATTATTGTGCCATCATGTATAATTATTGTGCTATGTATAATTATTGTGTTATCATGTATATTTAGTAAAAATAAAAATTCATAATAAATAACTTTCCTCTATAAAACGCGAAGTGGACTCAATACGAAACGGACTCGACACGAAACAGACGCAACAAGAAACGGACTCAACACAGAAACAGACACAACAAGAAACGGACGCAACAGAAACGGACTCGACAGAAACGGACTCGACGGACTCAACAAGAAACGGACGCAACACGAAACGGACTCTCGACACGAAACGGACTCAACACGAAACGAACTCAACACAAGACGGACTCAACGCGAAACGGACTCAACGCGAAACGGACTCAACACAGACGGACTGAACGCGAAACGGACTGAACGCGAAACGGACTCAACACGAAACGGACTCAACGCGAAACGGACTCAACGCGAAACGGACTCAACACGAAACGGACTCAACGCCGAAACGGACTCAACGCGAAACGGACTCAAAACGAAACGGACTCAAAACAAAACGGACTCAAAACGAAACGAACTCAACACGAAACGGACTCAACACGAAACGAACTCAACACGAAACGGACTCCACGCGAAACGGACCTTAAACAACGCAACCTGGATTTAGAATAATGTGTAAAATACTAGTCGCATATTATTATTATTATTATTATTATTATTATTATTATTATTATTATTATTATTATTAACATTATCATCATCATCATTCTTGTTATTTAATACCGGTTATTATTATTATTATTATTATTATTATTATTATTATTATTATTACTACTATCATTATTATTTTATTGTTATTATTATTATTGTTATTTGTTATTGGTAATTATTATTGTTCGTATTATTGCCGATGTTATGAATATTATTATTATTATTATTTTCATCATTATCATCATTATTCTTGTTATTACTATTATTATTATTATTATCCTTATTATTACTATTGATCAGAGATGTCGTCATGTTCCCCTACAGCGAGGCGGGGTCGGGGAGGCAGGAGTAGAGGATGGGTGTAGCAGCGAGGATGGTCCCTGGATGAGGCTCAACTCTCAGCTCTATCCCGTGGTGAGTGCTGACACACCCCCCTTTGTTTACCCTTAGTGAGCCGCCGCCCCCTTCCCTTCTGTATCTATCTATCAATCTATCTACCAATGAGTGAAAATAGGAACAAAATACCAATACAATACCAATTATAAGTAACGTAAAGCAGGTGCGGTGGTCGAGTGGTTATAACGCTCGCCACCTTTCCCAAAAGTCACTGGTTTGCGCCTCAGTCCACCCAGCAGAGAATGGGCACCTAACTTTACAACTAGGGAAGTGTAGGAGGTCGAGTACAGTGCCGTCCGTGCCAGACTACAGGACCCACCAAAATAACAGGACATTGTATTAATGGTGAATAATGGGAAACGATTAATTGGTTTTGGTAATAGTAAAAAATAATGATGTAATAGTAGTAAAATTAATTATTAATAAAAGGGAAAAAATAATTATTAAAGAATGGGAAAAATAATGTTTATCGATTAATAGTCTTCCCTCCTCTCCCCCCCTCCGTCAGACGTCACGTGACCTGACCTCCGTGAGTTCGTCTATGGTCCGGGCGTCCTTCACTGAATCCTACGCCGCCGCCGCCGCAGCCTGGCGGGGTCCTGCCGTCCACTGCCGCAGCCGCCCTGCCGCCGCAGCCGCTTACCTCCACCCGCACCCCTACCTCCACAAGCCAGAGGCGCACTTCCTTTTTCCCGGCGCAGGTACAATGTCCCTTTCACTAACTGTAATGTTGACCCTCCCCCTGTCATGTTGACCCCCTTACTAACTACAATGTTGACCTCACCCTTCATAACTGGTACAATGTTGACCCTCACCCCTTCACTAACTGGTACAATGTTGACCCTCACCCCTTCACTAATTTAATGTTGACCTCACCCCTTCACTAACTGGTACAATGTTGACCCTCATTCACTAACTGGTACAATGTTGACCCTACCCCTTCACTAACTGGTACAATGTTGACCCTCACCCCTTCACTAACTGGTACAATGTTGACCCTCACCCCTTCACTAACTGGTACAATGTTGACCCTCACCCCTTCACTAACTGGTACAATGTTGACCCTCACCCCTTCACTAACTGGTACAATGTTGACTCTCACCCCCTTCACTAGTACAATGTTGACCTCACCCCTTCACTAACTGGTACAATGTTGACCCTCACCCCTTCTAACTAGTACAATGTTGACCCTCACCCCTTCACTACTGGTACAATGTTGACTCTCACCCCTTCACTAACTTGTTACAATGTTGACTCTCACCCCTTCACTAACTGGTACAATGTTGACCCTCACCCCTTCACTAACTGGTACAATGTTGACCCTCACCCCTTCACTAACTGGTACAATGTTGACTCTCACCCCTTCACTAACTGGTACAATGTTGACCTCACCCCTTCACTAACTGGTACAATGTTGACCTCACCCTTCACCAACTGGTACAATGTTGACCTCACCCCTTCACTAACATTTACAATGTTGACCCTCACCCCTTCACTAACTGGTACAATGTTGACCCTCACCTTCACTAACTGGTACAATGTTGACCCTCACCTTCACCAACTGGTACAATGTTGACCTCACCCCCTTCACTAACTGGTACAATGTTGACCCTCACCCCTTCACTAACTGGTACAATGTTGACTCTCACCCCTTCACTAACTGGTACAATGTTGCCCTCACCCCTTCCACTAGTACAATGTCTCTCTCCTTCACCAACTGGTACAATGTTGACCCTCACCTTCACTAACTGGTACAATGTTGACCCTCACCTTCACTAACTGGTACAATGTTGACCCTCACCCCTTCACTAACTGGTACAATGTTGACCTCACCCTTCACTAACTTGGTACAATGTTGACCTCACCCCTTCACTACTGGACAATGTTGATCTCACCTTCACTACTGGTACAAGTTCTCACCCTGGTACAATGTTGACCTCACCCTTCACCAACTGGTACAATGTTGACTCATCTCCTTCACCAACTGGTACAATGTTGACTCATCCCCTTCACTAACTGGTACAGACAATGTTACCTCACCCTTCACTACTGCAATGTGACTCACCCTTCAACGTTGACCCTCACCCCTTCACTAACTGGTACAATGTTGACTCTCTCCTTCACCAACTGGTACAATGTTGACCTCACCCCTTCTAACTGGCCCACACCACCCCTTCACAACTGGTACAATGTTGACCCTCACCCCCTTCACTAACTGGTACAATGTTGACCCTCACCCCTTCACACTTTACAATGTTGACCTCACCTTCACTAACTGGTACAGCCCCTCACAACTCTACAATGTTGACCCTCACCCCTTCACTAACTGGTACAATGTTGACCCTCACCCTTCACTAACTGGTACAATGTTGACTCATCTCCTTCACCAACTGGTACAATGTTGACCCTCACCCTTCACTAACTGGTACAATGTTGACCCTCACCCCTTCACTTTGGTACAATGTTGACCTCACCCCTTCACTAACTGGTACAATGTTGACCCTCACCTTCACTAACTGGTACAATGTTGACCCTCACCCCTTCACCAACTGGTACAATGTTGACCTCACCCCTTCACCAACTGACAATGTTGACCTCACCCCTTCACTAACTGGTACAATGTTGACCTCACCCTTCACAAAATGGTGACTCATCTCCTTCACCACTTCAATGTTGACTCCCCTTCACTAACTGGTACAATGACTCATCTCCTTCACACTGGTACAATGTTGACTCATCCCTTCACCCTGGTACAATGTTGACTCATCTCCTTCCAATGTTGCCCTCACCCCTTCACTACTGGTACAATTTGACCTCACCCTTCACCAACTGGTACAATGTTGACTCATCTCCTTCACTAATTAATGTTGACCCCTCCCTTCACTAACTGGTACAATGTTGACTCACCCTCACCCTTCACTGGTACAATGTTGACCCTCCACCTGGTACAATGTTGACTCACTCTCCTTCACCAACTGGTACAATGTTGACTCATCTCCTTCACCAACTGGTACAATGTTGACTCATCTCACCAACTTAAGTGACCTCACCCCTTCACTAACTGGTACAATGTTGCCCTCACCCCTTCACCAACTGGTACAATGTTGACTCATCTCCTTCACCAACTGGTACAATGTTGACCTCACCCTTCACTAACTGGTACAATGTTGACCCTCACCCCTTCACTACTGGTACAATGTTGACCCTCACCTTCACTAACTTTGGTACAATGTTGACCTCACCCCCTTCACTAACTGGTACAATGTTGACCCTCCCCTTCACTAACTGGTACAATGTTGACCCTCACCCTTCACTAACTGGTACAATGTTGACCCTCACCCCTTCACTAACTGGTACAATGTTGACCCTCACCCCTTCACTAACTGGTACAATGTTGACCCTCACCCCTTCACTAACTGGTACAATGTTGACCCTCACCCCTTCACTAACTGGTACAATGTTACACCCTTCCTTGGTACAATGTTGACCTCACCCTTCTTCCACTGGTACAATGTTGACCCTCACCCTTCACTAACTGGTACAATGTTGACCTCACCCCTTCACTAACTGGTACAATGTTGACCCTCCCTTCACTAACTGGTACAATGTTGACCCTCACCCCTTCACTAACTGGTACAATGTTGACCCTCACCCTTCACTAACTGGTACAATGTTGACCCTCACCCCTTCACTAACTGGTACAATGTTGACCCTCACCTTCACTAACTGTACAATGTTGACCTCACCCCTTCACTAACTGGTACAATGTTGACCCTCACCCCTTCACCAACTGGTACAATGTTGACTCATCTCCTTCACTAACTGGCACAATGTTGACCCTCACCCCTTCAACTATATAATGTTGACTCATCTCCTTCACTAACTGTACAATGTTGACTCATCTCCTTCACTAACTGGTACAATGTTGACTCATCTCCTTCCTTAATTGTTGACTCATCTCCTTCACCAACTGGTACAATGTTGACTCATCTCCTTCACCTTGGTACAATGTTGACTCATCTCCTTCACCAACTGGTACAATGTTGACCTCACCCCTTCTGCTGGTACAATGTTGACTCATCTCCTTCACCAACTGTACAATGTTGACTCATCTCCTTCTCAAATCCTCCTTACTAACTGGTACAATGTTAACCTCACCCCTTCACCAACTGGTACAATGTTGACTCATCTCCTTCACCAACTGGTACAATGTTGACTCATCTCCTTCACCAACTGGTACAATGTTGACCCTCACCCCTTCACTACTGGTAATGTGCCCTCCCTTCACTTGGTACAATGTTGACCTCACTTCACTAACTGGTACAATGTTGACCCTCACCCCTTCACTAACTGGTACAATGTTGACCTCATCCCCTTCACTAACTGGTATGTTGACCTCACTCCTTCACTAACTGGTACAATGTTGACCTCACCCCTTACTTCACTGGTACAATGTTGACCTCACCCCCTTCACTAACTGGTACAATGTTGACCTCACCCCTTCACTAACTGGTACAATGTTGACCTCACCCTTCATCTGGTACAATGTTGACCTCCCTTCACAACTGGTACAATGTTGACCTCACCTCCTTCACTAACTGGTACAATGTTGACCTCACCCCTTCACTAACTGGTACAATGTTGACTCACCCCTTCACTAACTGGTACAATGTTGACCCTCACCCTTCATTAATTTCAATGTTGACTCACCCCTTCACTAACTGGTACAATGTTGACCCTCACCCTTCACTAACTGGTACAATGTTGACCTCACCCCTTCACTAACTGGTACAATGTTGACCCTCACCCTTCACTAACTGGTACAATGTTGACTCTCACCCCTTCACTAACTGGTACAATGTTGACCCTCAACCCCTTCACTAACTGGTACAATGTTGACCCTCACCCCTTCACTAACTGGTACAATGTTGACCCTCACCCCTTCACTAACTGGTACAATGTTGACCCTCACCCCTTCACTAACTGGTATGTTGACCTCACCCTTCAATAACTGGTACAATGTTGACCCTCACCCCCTTCACTAACTGGTACAATGTTGACCTCCCCTTCACTAACTGGTACTGTTGACCTCACCTTCACTAACTGGTACAATGTTGACCCTCACCCCTTCACTAACTGGTACAATGTTGACCCTCACCCCCCCAATCACCCCTTCAATAACTGGTACAATGTTGACCCTCACCCCTTCACTAACTGGTACAATGTTGACCCTCCCCTTCACTAACTGGTACAATGTTGACTCACCCCTTCACTAACTGGTACAATGTTGACCCTCACCCCTTCACTAACTGGTACAATGTTGACCCTCACCTTCACCAACTGGTACAATGTTGTCATCTCCTTCTCTGTACAATGTTGACCCTCACCCTTCACTAACTGGTACAATGTTGACCCTCACCCTTCACTAACTGGTACAATGTTGACTCATCTCCTTCCTACTGGTACAATGTTGACCCTCACCCCTTCACTAACTGGTACAATGTTGACCCTCACCCCTTCAATAACTGGTACAATGTTGACCCTCACCCCTTCAATAACTGGTACAATGTTGACCTCACCCCTTCACTCTGGTACAAGTTGACCCTCACCCCTTCAATAACTGGTACAATGTTGACCCTCACCTTCATCTCTGGTACAATGTTGACTCACCCCTTCACAATGTACCTCCCCTACTGGTACAATGTTGACCCTCACCCCTTCAATAACTGGTACAATGTTGACCTCACCCCTTCAATAACTGGTACAATGTTGACCCTCACCCCTTCACTAACTGGTACAATGTTGACCCTCACCCCTTCACCAACTGGTACAATGTTGACTCATCTCCTTCACTAACTGGTACAATGTTGACTCATCTCCTTCACCAACTGGTACAATGTTGACTCATCTCCTTCACTAACTGGTACAATGTTGACTCATCTCCTTCCCGACGGTGCCACGTGGACTACTAAACACCCCCGCCCTCTCTCCGCCGTCACCAGGTCTAGGTTTTGGCAGTCTGTTCGGTGGGAGTGAGGGAGCGTTGAAAGCGTGTCGACGGAGGAAGGCGCACCGTGTTCAGCGACCACCAGCTGGGCGGACTGGAGAAGAGGTTCGCGGCGCAGCGTTACCTGTCCACACCTGAGAGGGTAGAACTAGCGACCTCCCTCAACCTCTCTGAGACCCAGGTGAGCATCTTAATTGTGTCAGTGGGAGAGAAGTGATCCTTTTCTACGTTTCGCTTCTTATCTATCTATCTATCTATCTATCTATCTATCTATCTATCTATCTATCTATCACCACCAATACTAAGTACACCCAGGCACAGTTCACCCCAGTAATATAAACACTATTGGGACAACATTTCCACCTGTTTCTGTAAGATTCGAATACGTAACAAGGGATCGAGAGAACTCCTTTTAGGTAAGGTTGAGTCTCAATGCATTTTTGGGGGCTATTTTGCCTACAGAGGGAAAAACTTAAACGTAAGAACCTTTGAAAATATAAATCCCCAAAGTAATATACTGTTACTGACAAAAGTACACATCCATCGCATCTATTTTCTTATACAGTCTCGAGTAAAATTTGATGCCATTTTTACTAACAATACTTAAAAAAATTTATCTAAGTACGCTAGAGTCTCAAGTACAGTTTAGACGCTATTTTTACTTACAATACTAAAAAATACTTACAATCCTTAAAACAAAATCTCTGGGTACAGTACAGACATAAATATAATATGGACGCCGCCATGTTTCTCCCGCCAGGTGAAGACGTGGTTCCAGAACAGGCGTATGAAGCACAAGAAGCAGCTGCGTAAACACACGGACGACAAGACGCCAGCAAGCAACAGCAGCAGTAGTAGTATGGACGGCGACACACAGCAGCAACAACAGCAGCAGCAGGCAGCAGGAGGAGGTAGTGGAACAGCAGGAGTAGGGGCCGTCCAGATGACTCCAGGGTCACCCCTTGATGTTGGTGAGTCCTGCTTCCTGCTGTATTGTCTAGATCATATCTTTGTTGTTGTCTCGAATCTCTTTTTTGTCTTGATAATTTTCTCGGTGATTTTCTTTGTTATCTTGATTTTCTTGACGATTTTCTTTGATATCATGACGATTTTCTTTGTTGTATTGGTGATTTTCTTTCTACTGCCCACTAGCGGTCACTTCTAGTACTACAGATACTTGAGGTAACTCATATTCTGGCCGTCACGACATGAGGGTGCCATCGTACTCAAAGGGTTAATACATCATCCTCAAAGGGTTAAATTATTGTCCTCAAAGGGTTAACACACCCAGGTCAGGTTTGATTATTGTTGGGTGCATTCTTTGGCGTCCAAAACGTCCGTGACTATCAGATAAGGTGATCGACCCTCTTCACACAGTAGTTTATCGTGACGTGTCTGTGAAGAAGGCAGCCAACTCGAGTACAACTTAAAAATCTGTGTAATTAAATTCCTCAAAGTTAAAAAAAAGTGGGAATTAATTACAAATTTTAATTAATATTTGAGAGTATTATAATAAGGGAGAATAGCAATAAAGGAATGTGTTACCAAAGATAATGGCAGCAGTTCACTCACACTTCCGACAGGCGGCCACAAAGTGCATAAAATCGTGAATAGGTCTGATAATTAATAATTCATATACGCAAATGACCCTGTGTGTGTGTGTGTGTGTGTTATCATCTCCGCCTAGTCACAGACACACACAATAACCTAAAGTTACGGTATGCGATGCTCCAAGGGAAAGACGTAGTAAGAAAATCATTGTAGTTTGGATCCACAGTTTATCACACGAAGTTTACTCTTGTTACAATGCGTTAGTAACACCTCTCGTGATGGCATTGCGGCCTGTGCAGGAGGGGGCCAGACACACGTATATAACCGTCTATATTAGTCTAAAACCACTATTTCTGACCTTTAGTATACCGCTTATTGGTAGCTTAATCATCGCTGTGTTCTTTCTGCTCTCCAGCGGCGATTAACATTACAATCATAATTCAATATTGTTTCTGCCCTCTAGTGGTGACTATCAGTACTAAAACCCTAACACAAATGTTATTTCTGCCCTCTAGTGGTGACTATCAGTACTAAAACTTTCGTCGTGGCCCTCGACATTCCCAAAGAATTTGACGGGGTACGGCACAAGCTTTGCCAAACTTCCCTCTTTTGGTTTCTCTCCCCCACTTTGTTTTCTAATCTAATGCTTCCTTGAGAACCGATCCATGGCAGTTGTTGTCGAGGGATCGATCTCTCGCTCTTTCTCTATCAGCAGTGGTGTCCCACAGGGTTCTGTTCTTTCACCTACTCTCTTCCCTTCTTTATTAATGATTTACTTCACACTACAACTAATTCTATCCATTCTACGCTGATGATTCTACTCTTCACTCTTCTTCACATTTTCCCTTCCTCCTAAATCTCAAACTAGATGTGTTTCTAGAGCTGATATCATTATTTCTATCAATGCGGATCTGTGCAGCATCTCTGAATGGGGAGGTAGAAACTTGGTTAAATTCAATAGTAATAAAACTCAGTATTTACCAATTACACTTTCTAAATTAGATGATCTCCCACCATTACATTTCAGGACGCTATCATTCTGCCAAATTCTGAAATAAATATGCTAGGCCTCACCATTTCCAATATGTTCTGGAAATCACACATCCTTAATATAGCTAAAGCTGCCTCCCAAAAGTTGGGAATGCTGTACAGATGCCGCTACTTTCACTCCTGAGCAGTTGCTCCAAGTATATAAGGGATTCATTCGTCCTAACTTGGAGTACTGCTCTCATATCTAGGGTGGCTCTTCTTCTGTCTAACTGTTAGATAGGTGGAATCAAAGACATTTCGTCTTATTAACTCTCCTCCTTTAGTCGACAATCTCTCTTCCCTTTCTCTACAATGTTGCTTCACTCTCTTTACAGGTACTTTAACGGGCAATGTTCAGTGGATTTGGCATCCTGTGTATCGCTGCAAAGCCGTGTTCGTAACACACGTCTTGCCCGCGGTGCCCACCGTTTCTCTGTGGATGTCGGTCACACGAGAATAACCCGTTATAGTACCTCCTTTCTTTCCTCACACAGCCAAACTGTGGAATGTCTCTGCCTTCTTCTGTGTTTCCATACTTATACAATCTGTCTCATTTTAAAGGGCTGGTTTTCCGGCATCTTCGTGGTGTAGATTAGCACAGTATAACCTTTTTCTCTATTTTCAATTTCTTTCTATTCTTATTCCCCCACCCCAGCGCCCCTGTTGTGGGTCGTTTGACATGTGCCCGGTGGGCTAATCTCGCAAAAAAAAAAAAATAATAATAATAATAAAAAATCCCAAACAAAAGTGTTCTTTCTACCCTCCAGTGGTGACTATCAGAACTAAAACCCTAACGCAAGTGTTCTTTCTGCCCTCTAGCGGTGTCGCCGTGCACTACCACCGCCCGTGACAGCGACATATCTCACTCGGACTACGAAGACGAGATCGACATCGTGGGTGTGCCTCCAGAGCTTCGCCACGCCCATCCTACACAGACACACCCACAGACTGCTCACTAAGCGCAATGAGATGTCCGCCCACCAATGCTTTTTACGTCTTTCATCCCCAATGTCTGGCACCTCCTACGCCCAAAACTCCTACGTCTGGCACCTCCTACACTCAAAACTCCTACGTCTGGCACCTCCCTACACCCAAACTCCTACGTCTGGCACCTCCTACACCCAAAACTCCTACGTCTGGCACCTCCTACCCCCAAAACTCCTACGTCTGGCACCTCCTACACCCAAAACTCCTACGTCTGGCACCTCCACACCCAAACTCCTACGTCTGGCACCTCCTACACCAAAACTCACCTCCTACACCCAAACTCCTACGTCTGGCACCTCCTACACCCAAACTCCTACGTCTGGCACCTCCTACACCCAACTCCTACGTCTGGCACCTCCCCCCAAACCCGCTGCACCCTACACCAAAACTCCTACGTCTGGCACCTCCACACCCAAACTCCTACGTCTGGCACCTCCTACACCCCAAACTCCTACGTCTGGCACCTCCTACACCCAAACTCCTACGTCTGGCACCTCCTACACCCAAACTCCTACGTCTGGCACCTCCTACACCCAAACTCCTACGTCTGGCACCTCCTACACCCAAACTCTACGTCTGGCACCTCCTACACCCAAACTCCTACGTCTGGCACCTCCTACACCCAAAACTCCTACGTCTGGCACCTCCTACACCCAAACTCTACGTCTGGCACCTCCTACACCCAAACTCCTCGTCTGCCTCCTACCCAAAACTCCTACGTCTGGCACCTCCTACCAAACTCCTACGTCTGGCACCTCCTACCCAACTCCTACGTCTGGCACCTCCTACACCCAAACTCCTACGTCTGACCTCCTACACCCAAACTCTACGTCTGGCACCTCTACACCCAAACTCCTCGTCTGGCACCTCCTACCCAAACTCCTACGTCTGGCACCTCTACACCCACTCCTACGTCTGGCACCTCCTACACCCAAACTCCTACGTCGGCACCTCCTACACCAAAACTCCTACGTCTGGCACCTCCACACCCAAACTCTACGTCTGGCACCTCCTACACCCAAACTCCTACGTCTGGCACCTCCTACGCCCAAAACTCCTACGTCTGGCACCTCCTACACTCAAAACTCCTACGTCTGGCACCTCCTACACCCAAACTCCTACGTCTGGCACCTCCTGCCAAAACTCCTACGTCTGGCACCTCCTACACCCCAAAACTCCTACGTCTGGCACCTCCTACGCCCAAACTCTACGTCTGCTTTCTACACCCAAAACTCCCTACGTCTGCTTCCTCCTACCCCAAACTCCTGCATCCCAGCACCTCCCTACACCCAAACTCCTCGTCTAGCACCTCCTACACCCAAACTCCTACGTCTGGCACCTCCCTACACCCAAACTCCCTACGTCTGGCACCTCCTACACCCAAACTCCTACGTTTGGCACCTCCTACACTTAAAACTCTCGTCTACAGCACCTCTACGCCCGGCTCCTGCGTCTGGCACCTCCTGCACCCAAACTCCTGCGTCTGGCACCTCCTACACCCAAACTCCTACGTCTGGCTCCACACCCCGGCTCCTACGTCTGGCACCTCCACACACCCCCAAACTCCTACGTCTGGCTCCTGCCCAAACTCTACGTCTGCACCTCCTACACCCCAAACTCCTACGTCTGGCACCTCCTGCCCAAAACTCCTACGTCTGGCACCTCCTACACCCAAACTCCCCCTCCCTACACCCAAAACTCCAACGTCTGGCACCTCCTACACCCAAACTCCACCGTCTGGCACCTCCTACACCCAAACTCTCGTCTGGCACCTCCTACACCCAAGCTCCTACGTCTGGCACCTCCTGCACCCAAACTCCTACGTCTGGCACCTCCTACACCCACACGTCCTATAGTATTTCTGCCATTCCTACTTTACCTTTTAGCCTTTTTCGTAAGCTAAACCCCGCCGCCAGCTATATAATGTCATGCTGAACACACCCTCTTGGTCACGGTAAAGTACAGTATATTATGTGTGTCGGGGCGCCCCAGTTCTGCACATCCTCTAGTCAAATAATTTGTTACAATAAACTTAGGTTTCTATTGCATGTAAGATTTGGCATATATGTGTGTGTGTGTGTGTGTGTGTGTGTGTGTGTGTGTGTGTGTGTGTGTGTGTGTGTGTGTGTGTGAAGGGTATTTTTAGGCTACGTCTGTATAAGATATAGAGACATATAATATTTTCCTGTATTAAGAACTGTACTGACTATTAATGCCAAAGAAATTACAAAATAGACTTACTATTCTTTACATTATACAAAGAGAAGATATCTAGTCGTCTATCACAAACAAGAAAACAATATTAGTCATATAAGAACAAACAAAATTGGTTGTATCACTCTGGAAGGTTTTTAAGTCAGTTGTTCTTCGACGTCAATGGGAATTACATAATGGATCTAATTAGCTCGAGTCCCAGTGCAAATATGATGCCTTGTTGATCTAAATAGCTCCGTATCGTATAGCTAAAACTGACCAATTAGAGAGCGTCACATCCTCACTAATAAACAAAGTCAACTTGTGAATCTTTGGAAAATTAAACCCACAGCTAAGTTCTGGTCACACGCCGTAAGAGAGTCAAGTGTTTCGTCGTTAAGTTGTGACGTACTGATGATGGTTACACACACTGTACGCGTATATTATTTGTTCGTCAGAGGTCCAGTGTAGCTGTATGGTTATGGTTTGGATCCTTTTAAAGTAGTCCTTCCTCTTTTAGGTTTAGGCTCACGTTATAACTCCTGCTGTGCGTGTTGGGTCGTTTTCTAGTCGTTCTTCAAGTCAAGGATCCTCTTGTAGTCCAACTTAAGGTCTTGGATCCTCTTTAGGCCTAAGGTATTGAAACTGTGTTAAGTCCACCGTAAGGTCTTGAATCACCTTCTAGTCCCTGTAAGGTCTTAGACCTTCTTAAGAGTCTATATTAAGGTCTTGAATCACCTTCTAGTTCATCCCAAGGTCTTGAATCGTTTTTATATGCCCCTTTAACCTCTGGAGTTTTCTAATGGGCTTGGATACATTTTAAGACCATCTCTCTATCATAAATATATATTTATTTACTAATTTATTCTGTAATTTATGTGTCTTATTACATCTGCAATGTTACAAAGACGAAAGAATGTATTTTTACACATCAAATGTGTGAATACATAATATTATGTGTATGTGGCGAAAACACATGTGTACAAAACTAACAATGACATCCTGAATCCTTTGTATATATATTGTTATTCACATGCAGTTACGGACAACATTCCCGCCACACTTCTGGCATTATCTGGCATCTCCTCAGGGGATAAGTGGCATTATAATATGTACTTCCCAAGGTAAAGATATACCATTTATATAAGTGTCGTTTCTCATGTTGTTAATCTTGGCAGCGTTCACCAAGCATTGTACTGTATATATATATATCAAGAAGAGCGGCGTCCAGCGGTTAGGACCCAGTACACTATTATCACCCACCAGTCCTGTGATGTACACGCCAGATACTGCCAATTGTCCACGGAATTTTGATCAAAACTTTACACACGAATAACAACTTCACTCCCGATTCTAAATTAAGTCTCTGTTGTGTGTGTGTGTGTGTGTGTGTGTGTGTGTGTGTGTGTGTGTGTGTGTGTGTGTGTGGATGATACACACCTTGCCGAAGTCAATGACCCTTGTATCTTTTTCATCCGGGAGTATCTTTTGTACAGTTTAAACGGTTGACGTCTTCACCAAAGTATCTTTTTAAGCAACGTATCTTTATTTCCAAGTATTCTTTAACCAATGTATTTTTTTAAAGCAAAGTTTCACTCAAATACCTACCCACCAATGTATCTTTTAACCAAGATATCTTCCCACCAATGTATCTTTTAACCAAGATATCTTCCCACCAATGTATTTTTTAACCAAGATATCTTCCCACCAATGTATCTTTCAACCAAGATATCTTCCCACCAATGTATCTTTTAACCAAGATATCTTCCCACCAATGTATCTTTTAACCAAGATATCTTCCCACCAATGTATCTTTTAGCAAGATATCTTCCACCAATGTATCTTTCAGCAAGATATCTTCCCTGTGCCCATCTTTTAGCAAGACTCTTTACACCATGTATCTTTTAACCATGATATCTTCCCACCAATGTATCTTTTAACCAAGATATCTTCCCACCAATGTATCTTTCAACCAAGATATCTTCCCACCAATGTATCTTTTAACCAAGATATCTTCCCACCAATGTATCTTTTAACCAAGATATCTTCCCACCAATGTATCTTTTAACCAAGATATCTTCCCACCAATGTACCTTTTAACCAAGATATCTTCCCACCAATGTACCTTTTAACCAAGATATCTTCCCACCAATGTATCTTTTAACCAAGATATCTTCCCACCAATGTATCTTTTAACCAAGATATCTTCCCACCAATGTATCTTTTAACCAAGATATCTTCCCACCAATGTATCTTTTAACCAAGATATCTTCCCACCAATGTATCTTTTAACCAAGATATCTTCCCACCAATGTATCTTTTAACCAAGATATCTTCCCACCAATGTATCTTTCAACCAAGATATCTTCCCACCAATGTATCTTTTAACCAAGATATCTTCCCACCAATGTATCTTTTAACCAAGATATCTTCCCACCAATGTATCTTTTAACCAAGATATCTTCCCACCAATGTACCTTTTAACCAAGATATCTTCCCACCAATGTACCTTTTAACCAAGATATCTTCCCACCAATGTGTCTTTTTTAACCAAGATATCTTTACAACCAATGTGTCTTTTAGCAAGATATCTTCACCAATGTATCTTTTTAACCAAGATATCTTCCCACCAATGTACCTTTTAACCAAGATATCTTCCCACCAATGTATCTTTTAACCAAGATATCTTCCCACCAATGTACCTTTTAACCAAGATATCTTCCCACCAATGTATCTTTTAACCATGATATCAAAGTATCTTTCACCAGCACATTCCGACATGATAACAAACTCTGCACATATATTATTGTAGGTATCTAGTGTTGTCGTCCCTCACACCTCTGCTCAACAGTGTATGTAAGGTCAAAGGTCAACTGAGGGCACTGGCACTGCATGGTTGGGGTCAGGTTGGTCAATTGTTGCCACCGACCTCTCAACCAGGCACTGTTGCAAGGTCTAAGGTCAACTGATAGCACTGACCTCTCAATCAGGCACTTATAAGGTCAGGTCATCAATTAGTAGTGCGACCCTAATTGCCAACAGTCTATATACGATGTTTTCCCTCAGCAAGAAAAACAAATTATGAAAATAGTTAATAAAGTTATGTATACCTGTACTTCCAAATACACACCTGATATACTTTCTCATAATGCACTGTTGACAATAAACTTTTCCCTTATGTCATAATAATACTTTCACATATCACCAATAACATATACCTGTACTGGGTGAGTTATAACAATGTCCAGTGGTAATTGTTATTAATTATGTATCGTTTATTGTGATGGATTTCTTCCGGTGAATAATTGAATTAAAAAGATGAATAACTTCTAAGGGAATACAGCTACAGTGTTAATAAGTAATACAATACCCATATTAATATACCTAACAATAATCTAGAAAACAATAGATAACTACCATAACATCACCTCTGATAACTGGGCAATTACAGGCTTCAGTTTTAAAGATTACCAAATATATTATGTGGGAAGAATAAGTCATAGGATTTCTATTTAAGACCAAATTCGGACACGTGTGGTAAGACCGTCAAGTGTCCGGAGTAACAACCTGATAACACCGTCAAGTGTCCGGAGTAACAACCTGATAACACCGTCAAGTGTCCGGAGTAACAACCTGATAACACCGTCTAGTGTCCAGAGTAACAACCTGATAACACCGTCAAGTGTCCAGAGTAACAACCTGATAACACCGTCAAGTGTCCGGAGTAACAACCTGATAACACCATCAAGTGTCCGGAGTAACAACCTGATAACACCATCAAGTGTCCAGAGTAACAACCTGATAACACCGTCAAGTGTCCGGAGTAACAACCTGATAACACCGTCAAGTGTCTGGAGTAACAACCTGATCTATAACCTGGGATTCGTCTAGTGAAATACAACAATGGTGTGTTGTTGGCCCTGTGATGTTGTGTAGTGTTGTGTTTGTTTGTTTGTTTGTAAATACTGTACATAATTCTGTGTTATCTTTTCGGATATTAATAAAGTATGGATCAAGAGAGTTGTATCTGTGTTACCCACCAGATCAAAACAATACGTGTTGTAGTTTGATGTGTTGTAGTTGTCAGGGTTGTTAGGAAGCCTTTACTAAGTCGTCGTTATTTTACACGTATAACTGACGACTTTTAGAATCAAAGGTTTATTATAAGCAACATTTATACTCTTGAAACATGCAGTAATACTTCAGTGGCGTTAGTAGACTAAAGCCGCGTATTTGCCGTACGAGTGGCCAACCCAGACTAAGTCAAGTCTCGGTGACTTCACAAAAACACATTGGAAGCAACCAAGCCTGGCACACAACTGATAGTTGTAAACAAACAAAAATTATCCAGACGAATTCGATATTTTTTTAGTTTAGCTGCAGCAAGATAAATAATTATGACCACCGCCGAGGTACCTGTAGTGGGCGGTACTCTTACCGATCTTGACGATTATACAAAATAATGTAATTTGATACAGGATCAATTGTCACTCGTTTCCGATAGTCATAACTTAGCCCAAGGGCTGAAGATGACTGCCTAGGCTAGAACGCTCATAAATCATGACACTATTACCTTAGGTACCCATTGTAATTATGATGAAATATATACATTATGCTGTCTGCAGCATCCTCAAATACCAAAGACAAAAAAAAATAAAAATTACGTGAAATATAAGCAGTTCCGGTGACTCAGATTGGCTGCGCCCGTGCATGTTTTCAACCCCATTTATACCACAGCACTA